TGTATTAAATATCAAATTAAGAAAGAAAACATTACAACTGCTATAGGACAATATTATTTCATAATTTCCATAAGGGGAAATAATTTGTGACTGCATAAATTTTTAGAAAAAATTATAACTATGAATATAAGAGATCGTAACTTGTAGAAAAATTCACGAATTATTCAAAACTAATTATGGAATCAACTATTTATGGTAAATTCAGTAAGTATATTCGCATTTCCTTAAAAAATATGTAAATATGCCCACAACTATATATATATATATATATATATATATATATATATATATATATATATATATGCGTGTTTGTGTGTGTGTAAATAAAGAAATATAAATACAGTTTATGTCTCTAAAAAGACAGTATGAAGAAAAAGTTTTATTGTCTTTATTATATATATATATATATATATATATATATATATATATATATATATATATATAGTTGTGACAGAATTATTCATCCCGTCTATAATTACAAATAAAGCTGTAATACCTCACATTGGAAACTTGCTGTGCATTTTTCACAAATCATGAAATAATGGACTTAAAAGAATATGCAGTAATGCCGACAACAAAATTTTTATTCTCAAACAATAATACAAAAAACACCAAAAAAACATTTAACATAGGACAAAATTATTGGCCCTTTTGTCTCATTAATCAATTGTGTAAACTCTATTTTTGATTATTGCCGTTAATCATTTTTCATATTTCCTTACAACATCACTACACACACTGATAGATATTTTGCTCCATTTTTACTCGGCAATAGCTTCTAGTTCCTCCAAATTCGAAAGACTTTTTTCTTTTAATTTTTTTTTACAAATATGACCATAAATTTTCAAGATTTTGTACGGGGTACGCCAATACCTTAATTTTCCTGTCATTTAATTATTTTGTCAAGTGACACTTCAAGTACAGCTTTCATTCACATTGTTTTATATTATTTTTTAAGAATAGCCAAATACCTCTCTTAATCCATGATACCCTGTAACGCTACTCGTTATCCCAGTCCAGAAACAAACAACCCCAAAGCAGAATGCTTCTACCATCGTGTTTAATTGCAGGGATGGTGTGTTTTAGTTTGCAAGCTTCATTTATTTTCCTCCATATATAACAGGAGTTCATGTGACGAAATAATTCTATTTTGATTTCATCTGACCATAAAACACAGTTCGAATATTTACTGCCATTTTCTAGATGGCTTCTAACATAAACTAATCTGGATTTTAGGGAGTTTTTTTTTTTGGGGGGGCAAGAATCACGAAGCCTTGCTCGATGAAAGCATCTAGTGACTGTCTTCGTCGATACATTCAACCCTGATGTCTTTGCATCATTGACAATGTATTTTGTCTTTAAGTGAGGATTCTTAGAGACATCTCTGACAATTTTCCTTTCCATTCTCTCAGAAGTTAACCAGTTTCTGCTAGTTCTTAATTTATTCTCAACACAATCAGTCTCGTTGTACTTCATGATAATGCAACGAATTGTCGAACGAGGAATATTTAAATTCTTGGAAAGTGTTATATATCCATCACTGTTTTTGTACGCATCAACTATCTTCATTCAGAGCTTCTTGTCAAGTTCAGTCGTCGTCACCATGGTTGCAGAACAAATGAGTTATTGCGGTACGTGGCACTCACATATTGTCTTCTTCATTACCATTTAGAATGTTATAGAATCAGGACAATAATATTTCATTTTCAAAGAGTGTTTGTATAAAATTTGAAATTAAGAAAGAAAACATTACAATTGCCATGGACCAATATTATTTCATAATTTCCATTAGGGGAAATAATTTATATTCAGGCCAGTAGATGTAGTTGGATAGAAATACTACTAAAAAGACACAGCTTCTACTCGAATATGAGTATCCATAAAAAAATAACATCTAAATTATATATATATATATATATATATATATATATACACATGAGATTTAAGAAACAGCAGATATATAGTGCTCAATATTAAAATAATATTAAAAATAAAGCATTAATACTATAATAGTCTCTAATAAAGCCACAGAACTAAATCCTCTACAAAAAAAAAAAAATGTAGTGTATCAATTTACATACCAGTTCAGAGATTGTATCTCTGATGTTAATAATAAGCCAGCTAAATATTGGTTTTATTACAACCACGCTCTCACCGTAGACTTACCTGTTACCTTTCTGATCTTAGTTCTATTAAACAACATTTCATAGAAAAAACGTAGGTATGTATATAATATTAGATAATTAGTTGAAAACACAACAATACTCACACATACACACAGTAAAAAGAATCTTCAGATTTTGGAGGCCATCCACATTAAAACAAAGCAACCCACACTCAACAAAATTACATTTCAAACTAGTCACAATACATTACATTGCATCTAGACATTGGTTTTGATGTAATACTTTGGTCTATCACGAGGTATGACGTCATAGAACCGCATGTTGAACTTACGACCTGCGTCTGCTATTCCGCGACCATTATCGTCGCATAGTAACTTTCTATGTCAAAATAACAAAATATCATCTTTCACGGTGGATATCTTTGTTTCAGGTCTGTATAACCATTCTGATGATGGCCCATGTGAGTCGAAGGCTTAGGACCAACTTAATAAAAAAATATCCAAATGTTGGACAATATTTGTCTTTATTTTCACCAGAAATTAAAACAAACATTAGAACATTAGAATGGCTCATGATCAGATATAGACATTCATTATCTGTTATATTCAATAATATATATATATATATATATATATATATATATATATATATATATATATATATATATATATATATACGATAGACTCTCCTATCGAAATCGAATGAGGTTCTGAATACCACGAACTAATTATTTGCATGCCTATGACGGGCATGACTTTTGAAACCAGCTCAAGAATTGCACAAAATACAACAAAAAATACAAGAGAATGTGTTGTATCCAAGTGCAGCAGAAACAATGTTAGATGTATTATTTTGCTTTCTCGTTTTATGTAGTCGACTGATGCTTACTTCTCAGTGCAGCTATATCAATGTTGTACTTCTTTAGCTCCAATGCAACCAGAGCTGTTTTTCTTTCTGGTGCTGAGTTGTTGTCATGGAGAGTTCGTACATTCCAAGAGCCAAGATTAAGTTGTTGTTGTTACGTAGAGTTTTTCGCAGTAGCCGGATATGTGAGGAACTAATTAGATGGAGTTGTCAGAAAACCAACATAATGAGTTGTTTCAAGTGATAAAGGCTTGTGTCAGACTATACACACTTTTTGGGACTGTCGATAAAAAAGTAACGGTGCAAAAGACTTGCCACGGAAACTCCGAACGACAGTCCTCATGTGTTATTATTGCGGAGTTTAACCTTTCCGGATCACAGTCAATATCAACCAGTACACGCCTCACGGCAGACACATTTAATATAATGACCGGTTTAAGCTGTCATGACTTTTCCTTCCCATGTGAAGTCTTTTTTTTTATCGTGCAACCAACACTAAAAGGACTGCTAACCAAAGCTCAGAGAGATTCCTTTCACCCTCATCAAGGGCAGCTAGCCCGCGCCAATTCTCAACCTGGTACTTTACATAGCTCAGCGGGAATATATATATATATATATATATATATATATATATATATATATATATATATATATATATATATATATAAATAAATAACTAGACTCGTTTCGAAAAACCCTCGAATTTTTGATTTGTTAATCAAATCAATTTCGAGGGAAAAAAAGGTTTTTAAAAAAGAAAGAGCTACAAACATAAACTTCTGCCGACAAAAATCGCACAGATGCAGGTCTGAAGCCCAAAGAAAAAAAAAACCGATACGAGTAACAACTAACTAACAAAAGAGCTCAATACAATCGTAGAGCAAACCTAGATACACCTAGTGAGCCAGACAAACCTACCTAGGTTTCACCTAAACGGATCGTCAGGGAAATATATATATTCTGTTAATACATGATTTATTATAAACAGAGCATTTACTTAAATAATTGTATTTATAAAAAGAACGTATGAACAGAAAATATATTAAAATAATTGTCGGACTTAGTCTATTTCATAATGTATATAGAAAATATGCGTCCTCCAAAAGGAATCGGACCTGTCTCAAAATAATTGTCGGACTTTGTCCATTTCATAATGTGTGACGTTATTTGCTTATATTTGGATACACATCGAATAGATATGAATGTACGAGAGAAAATCATGGAGAATTGTAGTTTAAAAACAGTAAAATCGATCTTGCTAACCGAAACGCTCCTCTGTGGCTCAATCGGTAAAAGCACGTCAGTCTATATGACGGTTCCGTATAGTATACAGGTTCGATTCCTGTCGGAGGACGCATATTTTCTATGAAAATTCCTCGGATATTCAGGCCGGTAAATGTCGTTAATACTGTTTATTATAAACAGAACATTTACTTAACTATTCGTATCTATAAAAAGAACGTATAAACATAAAAAATGTCTTAATATAATCCTAAAAAAAAACGTATAACAAAGGTCTTTTGATAAAAAACAAATGACCTTTTGTCTTTGTTAATTCATTTTATTCAAAGCGATTTTCGACCTATTTTTTTTTTTTTTTACCACGGCTTTTGTATCGTCTGCTTTAACAATGCCGGAAGAGCCGAAACACATGCCAAAAGACACATTCAATGTGACAACTGAAGCGGATGTTAAAAATCTCTCAGTTCAACAAAGACGCCCTTCAAAAAGAAAGTCTGGTGTTTGGTCATTGAAGTAGTTTGTATCATTTATCAAAATATGTGCTTACGTCAATATTTCCTGGTAAATCATCAATTGGCGGTACAAAACTATTTAAAACCTGAATATTCTCACACTAAGAAAAAGTCCATTCAAACAGACCTGGGCGTTTTTCTTTGTTTGTGGGAATCTGAAAAACCCAACCCAGTTTCAGAGAAGAAAGACGGGAATGACGAAAATAATATTTTCCTATTTTGTGTTCTGTGGGAAAATAATGGTCTTTTCCGGAAGGTTTTTCTATCTATCTATCTATCTATCTATCTATCTATCTATCTATAACTACTCACTATCTATCTATCTATGACTGCTCATTACCTGTCTCATTCTGTTAATTCATATTTTCTATCTATGAGTGCTCATTATCTATCTATCTATCTATCTATCTATCTATCTATCTATCTATCTATCTATCTATAACTACTAACTATCTATCTATCTATCTATCTATCTATCTATCTATCTATCTACTTATAACTACTCACTATCTATCTACTTATAACTACTCACTATCTATCTATCTATAACTACTCACTATCTATCTATCTATCTATCTATCTATCTATCTATCTATCTATGACTGCTCATTACCTGTCTCATTCTGTTAATTCATATTTATATTTTTCTATCTATGAGTGCTCATTATCTATCTATCTATCTATCTATCTATCTATCTATCTATCTATCTATCAACGTCATTCTCTTAATTCATATTTATATTTTGTTATAATCATTTCAGGTAATAAAGCCAATAATATTCTAGCTTATCTATCTATCTATCTATCTATCTATCTATCTATCTATCTATCTATCTATCTATCTATTTAGGGGCGGGTTCATCACCCCAAAACAAGGACGAAAGTCCATATAAACTTATGTCCACAAAAACGACGTTTTTGAGTTATTAAATTTAAAGTTTGCGGTAGATGATGTTAAATATACGACGCAAAATACAATCTAAAAATACTTTTGCAAATTTTGAGGGTTGGTTCCTGACACAAAACAAGGTAAAATGTTCCTAGAAACACACTCACGCTATATATATATATATATATATATATATATATATATATTATGAAATGGGCAAAGTCCGACAATTATTTTAAGACATTGTTTATGTTTATACGTTCTATTTTATAGATAAAAATATTTAAGTAAATGCTCTGTTTATAATAAACAGTATTAATAACACTTACCGGCCTGAATGTCCGAGAAATATTCATAGAAAATATTCGTCCTCCGACAGGAATCGAACCTGTATCCTATACGGAACCGTCATATAGCCTGACGTGCCTTAACCGATTGGGTCACAGAGGAGCGGTCGATTTTTCTGCTTTTAAACACAATTCTCTCATACATTCATATCTGCTCAATGCGTATCCAAATGTAAAGAAATGACGTCATACATTATGAAATGGACAAAGTCCGACAAATATTTTTTAGACATTTTTTTATGTTTATACATACTTTTTTTTATTTACTGTTTTATATAGAATAAACGTTCTAGATTTTATAACATTTAAATGTTGTCAGTTAATAACGTCTCTGGATTTTATCAAGGACCTTGAGAAAAACAGAAGGGGCTCAAGACCATATATACAAGGGCGAATGGTTGATTTGAAGGATCGACTCCGGCAAGAAAAATTTCCTGGCGCGGTACTTTCATTGCGGTGGACGAAGCTATTGATTGAATGTATTTTTTCCATCTCAGGTCAGCAAACAATGTAAGACCGAGCAGTCGCAAAGAGGTGCTCTTGTAGAGTTGAGCGTCAGACATTCTAATAGGAGGCAGGGATGGTTCTCTGTGGTGAGCAATAGAGAACAGTTTTGTTTTTGAGGCATTAAAGTTAACCAGCCAATTCCTGCCCCAGTTCACAACCGATTGGATGTCCTTTTCGAGACTAACGGCCAGGTTAGTTTTGTCAGCCACACTAGATTTGTTTTTGAAGCAGGGGTAAATAGTAGTGTCTATATATATATATATATATATATATATATAAATAGATGCTCTGCTTTTTATTTATTAACCGTGTTTAATAAATAAAAACAGACTATCTACTCAAATATGACTCTCCATTAAAAAATAATGTTTAAAGAAATTTATATATATATATATATATATATATATATATATATATATATATATATATATATATATATATATATATATATATATATATATATAGAGAGAGAGAGAGAGAGAGAGAGAGAGAAAGTTATTAAAGAAAAACAGAATCTGAGAGTCAAGATCACCTACATATGAATGACATGGCATATGCTTGTATGTATGTAAGTTCATCGCGCACAAACTCAAAAGTACATAAATATATATCTATATATATAGAGAGAGAGAGCGACAGAGAGAAAGAGAGAGAGATTGACAGAGAGAGAGAGAGACTCAGAAAAAGAGACAGACGGAGAGACGAGTAAAGACAAAGAGAAACAGATTTCGATAGAAACGTATTAGATAGCTAAGCAGATAGTGTATGTCTGTGTCAGTGTGTGTGCGCGTGCACGAGTGAGAGAGAGAGAGAGGTGGAGAGAGAGAGAGGGGGAGAGAGAGGGGGAGAGAGCGAAAACAAAAATCTTCGAAAAACTGGTTGTTTATTAAATGTTTGTTTTCGTTTTTGCTCAAAAGCGCTTTGCGAAGAATTTTGCTGTTATATAAACACGAACAAAATGCAGTCTTTAAAAGGAGTAAATAAATTCGCATATAAGAAGAAGAAGAAGAAGAAGAAGAAGAAGAAGAATTTATCTTTCTATCACATCAGTTAGTCGTAAAGTCTACCACGGGCTTAGTTTCTGTTTAATATAGCCGCTCACCTCTCATAAACAGACGAGTGCGTGTCACGACTGCTATGGCGCTTGCTGTAGAGCCGGCGTTAGGTTTTTAAAACGTTTCTTTCTATTCAACCCACAAAGGGGGCGGGGTCCGTGGGGGTTCGGTTCTAGCCTTATATCAGACAAATCTAATATCAGCTTGCACAAATCTTACTACCATGACATGAACAGATTTCTCTTCATTTAGTTGTGTCGTTAAAAATGCACCTGCAACGCTTAATAAATTCATAAAACTTCATGTGATTCTAAATGCACGTTCATCTGCTACACGAGTAACACATGATGTAATGCTTTCCGCAAACGACACCTTATTCTTTTAGACACGGTGCCACAAAACGAAACAGAAAAATAAGAACTAAATCAGATGCTAAAAGTTGGGTGGGGCTAAGTCAGATTCTGATTTTACACACACACACACACACACACACACACACACACACACACACACACACACACATATATATATATATATATATAATGAAAATGGAGTCCTTAGAAAAGCATTGGTAATAGTTTATTTCATTGAACCAGCTCGATTTGGAATCATCAGACCAAGAGATTTTGCAACAATAAATGGCTTTACATTTATCCAGAGAAAAAAAAAAAAAAAAAAAAAAAAAAAAGAGATGGAGAAAAAGAAAGAAAAAAAAGGAAAGAGTTATAAAACAAGACAGATTTTTAAATAAGGTTCCGTGAAATAAACTATTGATTTCTAAAGACTCATTTGCTCTATTTTTACATTGATCTCTCTTTTGGATTTATAGTTTCTTTGGAATTATCCTTATTATTTATCAAATATATATATATATATATATATATATATATATATATATATATATATATATATATCTTAAGCATTTCACCTATATATATATATATATATATATATATATATATATATATATATATATATATGAATGAAAATATAGTCTTAAGGTGTGCTATATTTATGGGATAAATTGCTCAATATCAGAGATAGAGCGTGTGTAAATATAAAAGTGAACATTGAAGTCAACCCTTAGAGGCGACAGGGTGTTTCATGCTAGGCACAATCGTCAAGTCACACGTGCCATGACGATTGCGTCTAGCATGAAATAGACTGTCGCCTCCAAGTGTTGACTTTAATGTTCACTTTCATATATATATATATATATATATATATATATATATATATATATATATATATATATAAATATGTATATATATTATATAACAAAAGATTTTGAGGAAAATATATGACAAAGTGTAAAAAATGTGCCACAAGAAAACTAGCTACTAGATTGGCAATTTGGTCTCACTATTTTACTCTTGAACTAGCTAGATGCAGCCGCCACTTTTATAACTATAATATTCAATGATTTAAATGCAATGTCAATCGCCATCTTCTGTCTCCCTGAACTACCGTTAATTCTGTATTGTCCTTTTCCTCACCCCTCCTCGCTAAAGTCTTCTCGTTCTCTTTCACTCCCTGTAACACCCTGCGTTCTAGAGGCATTTCCACCATGCTTGGGTTGAAACTATTAAAAATAATAAAAATTAAAAAAAAAATAGTTTATTACGTCTATCGGACTGTGCATTCAAGAAATACCGTAATTCCCCATGTGTAATACGCCTTCATCCATAATACGCACCTCTACAATTCTGCTGAAAGAGTGGGAAAATGCTTCATAATCTGCACCCCTTGTTTGGTAATCAAATCCTATAAATTGTACTTCTCTAATTTTATTACGGCCAGCGTTTTCTACTCTTATTCAAGTTGAAGATATTTATCAAAATTCCCGATCATTACGATTCAAAAAGGAAACGGAAATACCTATAGTGCCTACTGCGCAGACTCATTAACCTGTTTTTTTTTTCTATTAAATGTACAATCTGCAATTTACCGAACCTGTATGTAGTCTTTCACAACGAAATGATTTTAAACATAGAATAATATTAATCTAATCTAGTTTTATGATAATTCTTATTTTACTTTACATCTGTAAGTATTGTTAGGTACATATGATTGTATTTGACATCCTTATGGGGGTCGCAATCGCCGAATGTTTGTGTCAAATTGTCGGATGTTTCTGCTGAGTAGTCATTTCGCAACTGAAATCGACCTATGAAACGGCAATTTTTTAAAGATTTTTTTGTATCCATGCATAATACGCAACCCTGATTTTGCTTGAGTATTATACATGGGGAATTACGGTATTAATAAAGAAAAATGTACTCTCCGGCAGGAATCGAAAATGCCCCCTACTTGGTAGGAGAAACCGCCGTTTCCACTGTTTTTCCACTTGGTTACAGAGAGCACACCGGAAGCAGTGGTTGCTCAAGAGGCACGCAAGTTTGATCTCTGCTGGAGAGCGGGTTTTCTTTAGGATTTCTCGAATGCCCAAGAGAATAGATGTAATATACAGTGTTCAAAATAAAATAAACAGAAAAAGTAAATAAGAGTAGCCATTATAAGAACATTTAAAGTAGAAAAAAATGGTTGATTACACACACACACACACACACACACACACACACACACACACACACACACACACACATATATATATATATATATATATATATATATATATATATATATATATATATATATATATATATATATATATATATATATACCAGGTGTAAAAGCAAAATTGTCCAAATCGTGTCACAGAAAAATTGTCAAATTTTTAGATAAAGCTTT